AATTAATTAAATTAATTAAAAATCTCTAAATTGGATCAAACTTAAGGGTGATTTGTGAAAATTACCATTTAAGTTATTACAAAGGACATGAAAGGGTTTTCCCCTATGTTGGGCATTTTGGTCATTTGAATACACAAGATCACATGCACACTCAGACCTAACGATGTTAGTAGGGGGTCATTCAACAAAACTTGAGAGAGGTTACGTGACATTTCTAAAGTGTAGGGGGTTCTCTCCAAAATGACCAACGGGGGGTCTTGAAAACTCAGAAAATTTGATTTTCAGTGTTATGAGTCAACTTATGATAGTCATGAGTCGACTCATAAATTGATGAGTCGACTCATGAAATGCTCCGGAATTGTGATTTTTTTCTGTTGAGTCGACTGATAGGCGATCAGTCAACTGATGAGCTGATCAGTCGACTGATGACGGGTTCTTGGGCTGTTTTTTGTTTTCCTGTTTGGTTTGGGATTGGGTGTTTGTATAAATACAAACACGGTTTTTAGGGTTTTTGCAGGAGTATTAGCAGTTTTTGAGCACTTTGAGTGGAAGAATTTGTGCGGGACTTGAGAGTTTTGTTAGAGTTTTATTTGTGAGATTTTGTGAGATTGTAAACCCTATTTGTATTCTCTTTCTCTATTAGTAAAATCTTTCTTCTCCTTGCCCTGTGGACGTAGGCACATTGTCGAACCACGTAAATTCGTTGTCTTGTTGTTTGGTACTTGAGTTTTTTGTTATTTTGATTACTTTCTTCTCGTTTGTTGGTTTGTGATTCATCCGCTGCGCACAACAAGTGGTATCAGAGCTTAAAACTACGCTTGGGGTTAGGTGAAGGAGTAGATCGCTTTGGAAGCTCTTCTAGGGTTTCAGTTGAAGACAAATGTGAGATTTTTATCATTATGGATCTTGTCTTCCATCGTGTGGTGGTGAGATCATTTGGTGACCTTGTTAGGGTTTCAGTTGGAGGTAAAAATCTACATTTTCTTAGTTTGGATATATCTTTTCTTAGTTTGTTCCGCATTAGTTTGTTGGTGTTTTAAGGAAGATGACTGAGAAAGAAGGTGCATCGGGTGTTGAGAGTGGTACTTCCGGCGTGAAGACCATTCAAAGTTTAAATATCCACTTTATGAAGATAAATGTGGGAAAATTTAATGGTACGAACAACTTTGGTTTGTGGATATGTGAGATTTTGAATGCGCTGAACGCGCAGAATTTAGAGGATACTTTAGAGTTGGATGGCAAGCCGGATGATATTGAAGATAAGATTTGGAAGAATATGAATCGGACGACGTGTGACGTCATTAGGTCTTGTTTAACACAGGATATAAAATATGATGTGATCAATAAGACTTCTGCAAAGAAGATTTGGGAGATTCTCGAAAGCAAGTATTTGACGAAGAGTGTTGAGAATCGCTTGCATTTAAAGAGGAGACTTTACCGTTTTCAGTTGAAGAAAAGAATCTCAATTGGTGATCACATGAACAACTACACAACTTCTTGCGGATTTGACGAATGTGGATGTCATGATCGAGGATGAGGATAAGGCATTGTTGTTGTTGAGTTCCTTACCTGATGAGGAATATGAGACATTCGTTCTTACTTTAATTAATGCGAAGACATCCCTTTCGTATAGTGAGCTTATCACTGCTCTTGTGAAATATCAACTAAGGAAGAAAGACAATGAGTCTTCAAATGACACAATAGCAGAGACGTTGACCGCAAGAGGGAAATCCAAACCGAAAGAGTAAAAATAATGAGAAATCGTAGTCTAGAGTAGGGCATCCTACAGTTGGTAAAGATCAGTGTGCTTGGTGTAAAGAGACTGGTCATTGGAAGAAAAATTATCTAAAGCTCAGTGAATGGATAAAGAATAAGAACAAGTAGAAGGGAAAAGGAAAACTACTAGAAACAAACATCGTCAAATCGGATGGTAATAGTTCTGACTCATCTGTTTTTTCGTTTTTTATCAATCCCACAGGTTGCTATTCGGAAGTATCCGAGTGGATGTTGGATAGTGGTGCAACCTATCATATGTACCCTAAAAGGAAATGGTTTTCTAGTTTTGAAAAACTGGATAGTGGTGTGGTGTACATGGGTGATAATCGTGCATGTTAAATCCTTAGGATAGGTAAAATTTGCATCAAGATATATAATGGGATGTTGAGAGAGATACATGGTGTGAGATATGTTCATTCCTTGAGAAAGAATCTGATCTCAATTGTAGCTTTAGTTGCAGAAGGTTTGAAAGTTCGTATTGAGGACATGGGTCTCAAGATTGTGAAAGGCTCTTTGAAGGTTTGAAAGTTCGTATTGAGGACATGGGTCTCAAGATTGTGAAAGGCTCTTTGATTGTGATGAAGGACGTCAGGAAGAATAACTTATACGGACATGGGTCTCAAGATTGTGAAAGGCTCTTTGATTGTGATGAAGGACGTCAGGAAGAATAACTTATACGATGATAGGTGGAGTGCTGACGACTTCTATTGATTTGACTAGACTGTGGCATTTGAGGCTGGGACATTCCAGTATTGATTCCTTACAAGCTTTGGCAATGCAAGGATTGGTGAAAGGTGCATCGACCTGCAATTTAAAGTCTTGTGAACTTTAGGATGTGAGCAAGAAGACCAATGTGAAGTTTAGTACCTCTATTCACTGAGCTAAGAGCCTTCTAGATGTGGTTCACGTGGACGTTTGGGGGTCTTCCAAGGAGGCATCATTGGAAGGTAATAGATATTTGGTTTTTTTTATTGATGACTGTTCTAGGCATGTATGGGTTGCAACCAAATCCCGTTTGAGTGAAGTCCTAGTAGTCTTCAACAGGTGGAAGAACTATATAGAGACTAAAACAGACAGAAAGGTCAAAGTATTACGTTCTGATTTTGGTAGGAAGTACAAGAGGGATCTGTTTCTGCGTTTGTGCCGAGCTCAAGGCATTTTGAGATACTTCGATGGAAATGGAACATTGGGGTAACTAGATGAGGTGGCAAAGTTGATGAATCGTGCCATGCTGGAGAAGGTTCAGTGTTTGTTGTCAAGCAGTGGTTTGCAGAAGAGTTTTAGGGCTGAGGTTTTGACATATTCGTGTCATATTCGTGTCATCTTATTAACAGGTTGTCGTCTGCTACGATTGGAGGTAAAACTTCATTGGAAGTTTGGTTTGGTAGAGCTGCTTCAGATTATGGGTTGCTTCGAATATTTGGGTGCCCAACCTATTGCCGCATCAAGAATGTAAAAATTGATCTGAGTACAATAAAGTTTGTAGTTCTGAGCAGTAATGTCGCTTTTGATGAGGTTTCGATGATGGAGCCTATTGACTCTCAGGGGGTAAAGAGTGTTAGACAGATCATAGATGTATCGTAACGGGTGAAGAGTGATGCTACTTCATGTTGAATGGAGATTACTCCACGTTCTCCAGATCATTCTGTATCATTTGGGATTCCAGCTGAGATGATACAGATTGAGGATCATATAGTTGATGTTGATACAGATGATGAATTTGAGGATCAGGAACATGAGGGTCAGGTTCAGGATCAAGATTCGAGTGCAGCAGGTAGACACAGTCCAAATTTGGCTATGGTCGTTGGCTCACCTCAGGTGGAGGTGTTTGATAATAGTGTTTCTTCTACATATAGGGTTGAGGGGTTAAGCTCCAAGACAGAGTTAGTGTGGAGAGATGTAAGTTTAAAAGAGAGATTGTCTTTTCATTTTGAGACCATCAGGAGTGCTATCAACTACAGATTTGTTAGTATTGGCAGAGTTTACACCAGTTGCTTGACTGACCCGTTTGTGTGTTGTAAGCTATTAGGTAGCTTGATTGGTGCAAGGGTGCATACAAGGTCAAGATTTGTCACGGATCGTTCACATTATGAGCACTTGGGTGCATGGTCTTAGAAGAAGACATTTGGTGACGGTCGTGAAGTTTGTGAAGGATTGAGAATCCTTCAAGTTGATTGAGGTTGTTTACAGCCATTTGGGTGAACTACGTAAGGCTTGATTCCTTGGGCAAGAGGATACGTAGGCAGTCAGTTTGATACAGCCAGTTTGATGAGTTGATATCGACAAGGGGGAGATTGTTTAAGTTCGTATTTGGATTCCTGACTTGTTGTGGATTGAGTCCATTATTGTGGATTAGTTCCACTTCGTACTGGACGCAACAAGTGGGATGGTTGGTATTGAGGTCAGCTCAGTTTTATTGGAAAACTTCGCCGATGTAGAGATTTGTTGAAAACTCAGAAAAATCGATTTTCAGTGTTATGATTCGACTCATGACAGTCATGAGTCGACTCATGCCTGTCATGAGTCGACTCATAAATTGATGAGTCGACTCCTGAAATGCCCTGGAATTGTGATTTCTTTTCTGCTCATTCGACTGATAGGCGATCAGTCGACTGATAGATAGGCGATCAGTCGACTGATGACGGGTTCTTGGACTGTTTTTTGTTTTCCTGTTTGGTTTAGGATTGGGTGTTTGTATAAATACAAACACGATTTTTAAGGTTTCTGCAGGAGAGTATTGGCAGTTTTTGAGCACTTTTGAGTGAAAGAATTTGTGAGGGACTTGAGAGTTTTGTTAGAGGGTTTTATTTGTGAGATTTTGTGAGATTGTAAACTTTATTTGTATTCTTTTTCTTTCTATTAGTAAAATCTTCCCCCTCCTTGCCCCGTGGACATAGGCACATTGCCGAACCACGTAAATTCGCTGTCTTGCTGTTTCATACTAGAATTTTTGGTTATTTTGATTACTTTCTTCTCGTTCGTTGGTTTGTGATTCGTCTGTTGCACACAAAAGGGGGGTTGTGAAATTTACGATACTTTTTCTTTAGCACTACCTTTCCAAAGGTTTATTCTGAGTAATGTCAAAGTATAATACTATTAAAACATAGCAATTTAGTACAAAAAAAAGACATGGATGCATCACAAATTAGAGTGTAGATATTAAAGCATGATAACATTTCCTTTGGATAAAACATATTTATGGAAATGAAATTGAAGCCTTGTACCTGAATGCAAGGACTTCAACAAATTCAGTGTCAATCTGAAAGAAAAAAAACAAATCCTTGAGGCTTAAAATATCTAAGTTATGACGTGACAAACTTTACAATAGTAAAATATAAGCAGAATAGAAAATAGTTATACATACTCCTGTCTCTTCTTTCACTTCTCTCATTGCTCCAGCAAATATATCTTCACCCTGCATTGACAAAGAGCTCAATGAATCAGAAGCATCTGTCGTTAAGATAAAATCTTTTTTCACTTTTTCATCACAGATATTACTTGATCAACTACTCCCGTAGGAAACTTCCATATGCCTGAACCTTGCAACATGCCGGTCTTTTCCTGAACCACAAGCACCTAACAAAACATGGAATTTGCAGATCTTATTCTTATCAAAGCGCAACCAAGAGATGTAAAGTAGACAATCAGCATTACAGCATGATTTGCTTATAAAGTACATTATAATTAAGGTAGTTATTGTTTATCAGTAACTTTCATAGGCAAATCTAGGAAGTTGCAATTTCCAGCCTCCATTTGATGGCTGAAAAGGATTGGAAGACTTTGGCAAACAATTGAAGAGGATATCATGATTTACCTCTTTCTTACTGTTGACCACAAAACCACCAACACCCACTCTGTGAGAAGCATTTACAGGTAATGTATGTGGGGTAGCTGGGATCCAATATACAAGCATCAAGTAACTGGGTTCTGCATGGTGGTACCAAAATCCTTCCTGCACCAAGATAATATGAACACAGAGATTCAAAATAGTAGGCAAAAATAGAATAGGAGGGAAAACGATGAAAAGATATATCGAGAATCTACAACTGAAGAGAGATCATTACGCTGAATACTCAACATCAAGGATTGTGGCAATAGATTAAATTCCACCTTGCCAACAGCTAAAAACTTTACAAATTCGCCAGTTAAGATGTCACGTGGAATAATATAACTTACTTGATCTTACGGAAGCAGGCTACATAAACTTGCTTGAGATATACAAATAATGTATGTGAGATAGTCTATGGTGTAGTGGATATGGCCATGGGTGACTGACGAACTATGAATTATCTGGCAAGCTATGTTACGTGGTTACTTCTATCATGAAGCCGTACCTATACCTGACACGTACAAGACACTTATCCGTACCCAAACTTCGTGGACACTCCTCGGATATATGCAAATATTTTGCAGTCATGTACTCAATTATAGGGTATACGTTTTAATTTAAAACGTTAGTCATAAACTTTTGGACTTATATTCCACACTTACACATCAACTTCTTGACAAGGGTCGTGTTCGTATCACCCCATACCCAAGTTCAAAACTATGATTTAAAGGGTAGTTTGGATGGCTAGTTTAAAACAAAAACCAGTTTCCAATTTATAACATAATAAAAGAAACTTTGAAAAGTGATGGAAATTTTAATTCTAACAATGAATTAAAAAAACAATGACAACCTCATGTAAATTATTAACTTCAATATATACACAGACGCACATAGCCGTGTCCTGTACCATAGATTTTACAAATTTCCCGTGTCCCGTACCCACACTCATACCCGTACTGGTGCCCCTTTCCGTTTCCATGCAACTTAGGTGGCAAGTAATACAAATACAAGCATCTTCTGGAATTACATAGACAGACATCAGAGGATTGGAAGAAGGATTTACAGAATCATGCTGGGGGTATAGGACAAGGTAAATTACCTGAAAGAATAGATCCCTCTTTTATATATGAGAAATAGGTGGAACTCCTAAAGGCAAAAAAAATTGACGTGTCAGTTATGAGCATTGACACATGGACACCTAATTTTGTCAAAAGCTAACATGTTGACACCTAGTCCTATCTTCACCAAAGAATCCACATCAAACTAAAACTAACCATAATTAGAAATTTCTAATAACCAAATATTTGGATCATATCATAAATATAATTGAAAAAATTAGTCTAATAATTTTAAGAAAGAAACAAATTATTACAAACAACATCGAACAAGATCGAAAACTAAAAACCAGCCAAAAATTAGAATATGCAAAAAAATTCCTTGAAAAACCAGAAAACTGCAAACAGACCATAAAAATTAAAAAAGTATAAATAACCTCCGAAAATTTCAAAAAATAAAAAACAACTCCCTAAAATCCAAAAAACAACAAACTCGCCCCACCCCCCTCTAAAATATAAAATTTACAAAAGACCCCCTGAAAAATCTATAAGTTACAAACAAACCTCTGACATAAAAATTACAAACAAACGCATGAAAAATCAAAAAATTACAAACCCCCTACAATATGAAATTACAAATAACCCCTTGAAAAAACTAAAAACTGCTAATAGATCCTTAAAATTCAAGAAATTACAAAGAGTCCCTAAATATTCAAAAACTACAAGCAACCTCCTAAAAAATCTAAAATTACAAGAACCCCTTTAAAATCTAAAACTTATAAACACCTCCTAAAACTCCAAAACTCATAAGCAATTCCCTAAAAATATATGAAAATTATAAACAAACGTTATTGGGGTGTTTTATGACAAATAGAACAAACAAGTTTTAGAAATTTCCAGTTTGCTACTCGAGCCTCCTATCTCAAAAATTGCCACGTGACATTAAAAAACAAGACATATAAATACCTAATTCTATTAGAAGCTAACATGTGGACATCTAACTATATCTTCACCTAAGAATTCTTATCAAACTAAAACATCCCATAACTAGAAATTTCTAATAATCAAATATTTGATAATCCTAATCAAATCATAACTATCCAAAATTAAAAAAGTTTTATCCTAATAAGTTTAGGCTGCGTTTGGGAACTTGGATTTGGACCCTGGATTTAAAATCCAGGGTATTTCAAATCCAAATCTATAGTTTGGGTCTCAAATTGGGCTGAGATTTCAAATCCAATTATTTTAAAGAGAAGATTTTAGAGGCCCAAATACACGTATTCGAAATTCCACTCAGCCCCTTCGTATTTGACAAATCCAGATCCCGACTCCTCTCTCCTATATCTCCGTCCCGATCCCAACTCCCCTCTCTCGTTTCTCAGTCGCGATCTCTCCTCTCTCTAACACAGGTATCTCTCCTCTCTCCTCTTCTCCTCTCTAACACAGGTATCTCTCCTCTCTCTCCCCTTCTCTTCTCTCGTCAAAACCCTAGATCTGATCTAGGGTTCCGATCTCCCCCTTTCTCCTCTCTCTCCCTCTTCCATCTAAACCCTAGATCTGTAGCTCTTAATCTTCTTCATCTCCCCCAAAATTAAAGGATCTCTGGAGAAAGATCAACGCCGATGGAGTGTCGACGAAGCAGAACATGGATCTTCCTCTTATTTCGATTCTTTTATGATTTTTCCTAATTTTTCAAAAGAAATCGGTTTCTCTTCCTCCCTCTATAATCTCGTTCAATATCTTTATAATTTGCGGTTGAAGTTTCTTTTCTCACCTTTCTGTTGCCGAGAGGAGATGGCGAAGAGTTCTTTCAAGCTCGAGCATGATCTTGGTTTGTATTTATTGACCCTTTTTTGAAAAAAAAAATATATGTACACACACATATATCAATCGGTTTTGTAGATGATGGGTCTTGATGATTTTTGGGGTTTTTCTTTTTAATGTTCAGGGAAGAGAGGCTGAGGCAGCGAGGATCAGGGAAAAGTACCCAGATAGAATTCCAGTAAGATTTTTTTTCATGATTTTTTTGTCTTATTATAATTTTTAATGTTTTTAGTTAGCTTGTATTGTGCAAATTGATGTCTTTTGTGAATCACGATATCAGTGAAAACTCGCTCCCTGCTCAAAATCCGAGGATTGTAGGGCTTCAGATCTCTCCCCCTTTTCCTCTATTCTCTCTTAAACCCTACGGGCATCGAAAAAGGAGCGATATTTTTTCTGGAAGAAAGAGAGAAATGGACAAGGGCTTGCTCGGAGACCTGGACAATCTCCCAGAGGAGGACAAGGCTCGCATGTCCACCATGATCGAGCAACTTAGATCCGAGACAGGTCCCTTTTCGATTTCCTCGATCAATCTTTTCTACGAATTATTCAGTTTTTTGTATTATTTTTTTATATATAGAGAGAGTTATTTCATGGAGATTCATGCTAATTGCAGAACAAAATATGATCTTTTTTTGCCATTTTTAATTAATTTAGCAACAATTTACAGTTTGATCAGAAGATAATGGTGATGGATATGGTTACCATGTAGATTCATGCTAGTTGTTAATAAAGATATGATCTTTTTCGATTCTCTTCAGCGTCAAATTAATAGAGCAAAAGTTAGCTGGAATTTTGTTTTTCTATTTTCATTCCTAAGCGTCACTTAAGTTGATATGTCGAGGTTAGACATGAATAAATTTGATCAGAAAATAATGGCGATGAATGCGGCTAATCTCACACAATATTTTTATGAATTAGTTGACTGATAGTCTGATACCAAGTTTAGATGTTTTACCATGTACAAGGGCTAGTAGGATTCAGCTTTATTTTCTCTAAGCTAATCTGAGGTCCTAAGTGATAGCCTTTACATGTTAAATTAAATTAAAATCTCAGTTGATATATGGTAACACGAAACTTTACACGGAGAGTTTTATTCAACCAATCCGATGTATACTCACCATCCTCCATTTGACATAGGCTACTAGCACTCTCAAATCTCAAGAAGCTAGAGCTCCTTCGGTTCTTAAATTCCTGAATGCATTGGCATCCTTGTATTATCTAATTTTCTGTTAGCAAATCTATTATTATCCCTCTGAGGGGAGTGGAGACATGTGATGAATAATTTGTAAGGCTAGGAGCATAATCCTCCGCAAATCTTCCAACCTTGAGTTGCCGAGTTTTCCTTGGTTTGCTTTCTCTTCATACATAGTCAGCATTCTACAATGGTGTAGATATTTACAGTCCTAAAAAGCTCCCAATGGAATAGGATTTTACTCCGAACATCATGAGATATTGGTTTACCCAACACCAGAATTTGTTACTTTGGACCGAGAAAATTCCAACGAATTATCCTATATTTTTCAACCCTGGCTAGTAATTTCTAGAATGGTCCTTAAAAGTGTTACAATTGATTTATGCTTTCCGGAGCGAGCTTCTACTTTGAATGGTGTAACCTCCTATGATTAAGTAAGTTTACTATTCTTCACTCTCTTGGTTATACCTTTGAGAATAAATTCTTATAAACAATCTGAAATGTTGTTGTATTGTACTTCTTTATCGTAGACTATTGCGAATTCCTGTTATTATTTATTCATGGTACGAAAGTATATTTTGCATATAACTCACGCAAAGTGCATTTACTGGATTGTCATCTTGCAGCTTTTAGCAACAATTTTGTTGTAGAATCACATGCCAATGGCCTATGGCCTGACTTCTATTTAGCCCTTGGAGAGGATATGTTGATATTCATGTTTTTTTTTTCTCTTTTTGTCATACATTTTGGACAGCATATATATGCATAAGTTTTAAGAATTTGTAGGCCAAATAACTTAACATTTAACATTACTGGACTCATTTGCCAATTAACTTAATATTTAACATTGCTAGGCTCATTTTCTCTTGTTTATGAACCTTTAGATTCAGGTTCATCTAGTATCTAAATAGTATTTGGTAGCTGTGGGCTGACTTAGGTATGTGTTTTGTGAATAAGCAGCTTTGAGTGTTTTCTCAAGAGTTATATTTGCTTATGTAGTCTCTATGCTTAGTTGCCAGGCAACCTAAAATCAAAATTGTTTTTTGCCTGGA